GATATATATATATATCGTTACATCGAACAGCCCTAGGACACTCTGAGCCTTGATAATACGTCAATCATGAACCTGATCATATAGCGTTTTTTTTCTTTGTGTTTTCTTTAGCTAAGTTTATTACCTTGCTTTGGCGACCTATGTGATGTAGTTACATTGTTGCTTTGGTTTGTAACAGGCACACTAGTTAAGAATGAAATGAGTTCATGCTCAAGATTCTGTTAGAAAACATCTGCTCAGTCTTGATCAAATCTTCAGTCTTAGAGCCATATGGGAAATTTTCATGTGAAGCAGTCATTAATTACCAATTTTATTTTGCAGTTTCAAAATTGATTAATGAAGTATTTGAGATTACTTTGTTTTGTCTTTTGTGTAAATGTGCTTCTTACTCCTTTTTTTGGCTTATATCTTATAATTTTTTAGAAGAGGCGGTCTAATCGACAGGTGAAGAGGAAGAAGTATGCTGAAGAGCTGGAGACCAGGTTGTCAGATGAAGAAGTCAAGGTTATTGTCAAAGCCAAGAAAACCAATACTGCAGCATCTAGGGAACCCGCTCTTCAGCTATTTGTAGTAAGTAATTCTGCATATAACTCTGTGGGAAACACGTTTAATTTCAGTTGTTTCAGTTATAACATAAATGGGAAAATACAGCTTCAGTGTATTAACTGGAATCAGTGGATGTTGCATTTGTAAAAAAGATACAGTACACCCTATGATTGACTAGCTGGTAGAACCATCTTTAGCAGCAATAACTTGAAGTAACTTATTTTCTGCATGGTTTTATCAGGTTTGTGGGAATTTGTTTATGCACAGCTATCTTAAGGTCCCGCCACAGTATTTGAATTGGGTTAAAGTCTGTACTGAGCAACTGCAACAGTGTTTGTGCTGATATGCTGTTTGATTTTTGTCAACCATGGTGCTTTGGTCTATGACTAAACCTCTCCACTTTGGTCTTGTCTCTCTTTTTCACATGTATTAAGAGTTTTGACTTGAAAAGAAATAGAATTGTTTGTGGAAATAATGCACATAAACATTGTTGGGAAGATCTTATTTTTGTACATAAAAGAACACAAACACACTCAGTAAAAAAACAAAACGAAACAAAAAACAATAGGACTGCTTGCTCTGCTGAATAGCCTGTTCTTTTCAACAACACACTGTGACGTACAAACCAGGACCCCTGCAGTAAGGCTTTAAAAAAAAAAAAAAGAAGGATAATATTCACTGTCCTTTTTTTATGATTTAGATGCAACAGCACAGAAGTTAGAAAGGGCCACAGAAACATTTTAATGCTTAAAAATAAAATTAGTTGTCCTCTAATTTCTGTTGTCTAAAACTGTTTTTTTCAGTTCTGGGATATTTTTATGTAATGCAGAATCACAAATTTGACAAAGGAATTTATGATGTGTAAAGCGTAAGAGAGCATCTGGTGTTTGTTTTTGTTATCATATTATGAAGACATTTATGCAACTTAATGCTCTGGGGTGACTGTTATGAATTTATCAGTTGACATTAACCATATCATGTTCTCTCTAGGAGAATCCCAGTGAAGAGGATGCTGCTGTTGTTGACAAAATCATGTCTTCTCGTATTGCTAAGAAGGAGGTAAATATTTAATTTGTTGTTTTGCCTTATTTTTTAACCATTGCACAGTTGTGATAAAAGCTTCTCTTGCAAATTTTTAGCTTAATAGATTTTTGGGACTATGTATTGAGTTGTATCGTTGTATTATGTTTTTTCCCCCCTTATTATAGCACTAAAACTAAATGAAAGCATTGCTTCTCATTGTTATGTTTTTGCATTCTTTTTCTTTAGGTCTCTCCAGGAGTGGTCATTGAGGTGGAAGAGTTTTTTGTAAAATACAAAAACTAGTAAGTTATTCATATGTAGTTTCTGGGTGGTTAGTGGCAAATATGTTTTTGTCTATAGATATATCTTTAGAGACAGAGGCAACATGAAAGCTAGAGGATGTAATTAAGAACTTTTGACTTTTCAAATGTCAGTACATCACAGGCATGCATGGGACAACTTTTAGTATTGTCGTGTCCTCAATGTTATGATGACTGTTTTTTCTGTTAATAAAGAAGAATACAAATTCTAGCGTATTCACACACCAAATTATCAGTTTTAATGTTTTGGAAATTAAGATTTAAGTGTCATACTCAGCTTCCCAGAATTTTTTTTTTGTGTGTGGCAGATAATCTGTCATCAGCCAGATCACATCCATCATTTCACAGCCAAATGATAACGAGGATGGAAATATGAATGTGAAAACACTTTAATATTTCTAAACAAATATGACTGAGAACAGCATGCCAGTGGAGACTGTGACCACATCTGCAATCTGTGATCACACCTGCTGGCCTCAGCAATTCCCCCAGATGCTGTTTAGGTGATTGCAAGAGTCCCTTACCTTACTGATC